CAACAATCTTGTGTCGGGGGAATATAGACATAAGCACTTACTAACGAACGAAGCATGAAACTGCCAGGGTCACAAGAAGATACTTTGGGTATCTCTTCAGATCACTTTTCCTTTGAGTTTCAGGGGCAAAGAAGGCAAGAAGGTGGAAAAACTGGCAAGTCAAAAAGAAGTCAACCTGGGGGAAGTGGAACTGAGCAATAAGGTGAGATCCAAAATGTCAAGGGAATCAGGGCGAAGGGAAGGTCTTCTGTACATAGTGCTTGCTGTCGAAAGAGATGCTCTCAGTGTTTGAGGGTAACTAAGTGAAACCCTCCACTTTATTGTATTTTATGATCAAAGTGAGAGGATTGGTGATTCATTAGACATACATGTTAAAAGTCTATTTAGAGAACACCCTTCACCAGCTTTTAAAGTCCTAGCTATGCTGATGATCCATTGAATAATTTGTTTTATCCATCTAGTCAATCAGTTAACAAATATGCCCCTATTATATTCTAAGACCTGTATTGGGTGCCAGGAATGCTTTTGGGGAACCTTTCCTGTTTGGTATAATACAGAGTTACAATGAATGTGTAATAATGATGATGACACTAGCAACAGCAATTAGTAATTGTTCAGCCTTTCATTTAGCAATGTACAAAGTCAGCTGCCTATAGTGTACCTTACTTAATCTTCACAGAATCTATGTGATTGTAAAGGTCATTTTCCACATTAAGGAGTTATTTTAAAGATGTTTGATAACAATGCACGGGCAGCAAGGTAAAAAGCCAGTTTTGAAACCTGGACCTTGTCTATTTCAAGGTTTTGAAAGAATTGTTAGCTAATGCAGACTAGAACCTTCTACCCAGTTCTTATCTGTAGTCTCAATTAGGTAATAAGAAGAGAGTCACAGCCGGGCAGTGGTGGCGCATGCCTTTAATCCCAGCACTCGGGAAGCAGAGGCAGGCGGATCTATGTGAGTTCGAGGCCAGCCTGGTCTAAAAGAGCTAGTTCCAGGACAGGAACCAAAAGCTATGGAGAAACCCTGTCTCGAAAATCAAAAAAAAAAAAAAAAAAAAAAAAAAAGAGAATAGAGTCACATTGGAGAGGGAGGCAGCAAATTATTGCAATAGCTGCCCTGAGCGGTAACAAAGGTTGAAGCAATGGCTGTGCACATGGAACAGGCATAGTCACTGTGACATTGACTCCGCAAACCATTTACTTCTGTGCTACCTGCAAGGAAGTGAGCCCAAAGTCGTAGGTATTCTTATGCCAAACTATAGGGTCTGTCAGGGCTTCCCTTCCACATAAGGATGCCAACACAGCAATAGCTGCAAGTGGCTTCTAGTTTAAGCATTTACCATCATCTGTACTGTCTAAAACAAGTATAACCTGCCAGCTTCCCGCAGCAGCTGTGCATTCCACATGACAAAGGTTATTTTTATCCTTTTTTTTGAGCATATGAATATTTTAAAAATATTTTATTCTTTAGAATAGCATATATTTATAAAGTGAAATATCATCATATTCATCTTCATTTCTCCACTCTAACCACCCCATATCTCCACCAACCTTCTCTTCTCCAAACTTCATGTCTGTTTGTCTGTCTGTCTTTCCTTTCTGGAAAGCCACTAAATCAAATTACTGTTGGCTCTCTGGGTATGGGTGTGGAACCATCCACAGGTGCCAGTGGCACACCCAAGAAAGAGAATGCCTCCCACGTTCCTCAGTGAAAGCTACCGTCAACCTCCATCCATCTCAGAAGCTTCTCACTCTACCACCCTTCCCTGGGGAATCCGTCAATGAAGACTTGGTCAAAGTGTTGAGAATAAATAGGAAGACCTACACTGGACACCTTTGCCAGCAACGAGTGTCAGGTAGTAGGAGACAGGAAGGATGCTAAGCTGGTGATGCAGAGGAGCGCTTTGAGATGCCTTCTTCTGGACTTGGCACAGTGACTGCACTCTAGAACTCAGTGCTGTGGGTACCTGCACAAGACCCACCCAAGAGCACAGCAGCCAACATTCTGGCCCAGATGAGGAGGTGCTCTGCAGGCTCCACCCTTTCATGAGGCTCCCTGACCCTCTGACTCCAGGCTCACTTTATATCCTGAGTTTGATCTGAACAGGCTCCAGCTATAGCTGTCATCACAGGTAGCCCTGTGTAGGTTCTGTAGCACGAAATCGCATCAAGGACTCAGAAGGTACACACACAATGCTTGGGTTCGTGGATTTGCAGCCCAGAGTGGCAGATGTGGACTGGGTCTCTAGTGTGTTAGTTGTTCCATAGTTACTTCACCTACTAACAGCAACAATAAGACACAAGAGGGGCTGTTTTGAAAATTATACTCATAATAAACATATTTTTAAAAGTCATTCATGATATTTCTCTCAATTGCCTATAACTAGAAAAAGCTTAAATAATTTTCTCCTGAAGTCAAAAATCAAAATCAAACAAACAAATAAATAAACAAAGCAAACAATTGGATACCATATGATGTGACATTTCAGTAAGTTTCTGGGGAACATTTCCCAAAACGAATGTTTTAAAAAAAAAAAGCCAGATAAAGCATGAACATTCCATCCATCATGACGAGATGTAAGAACAAACATACCAGCTTCTAAAAGGTGAGTGCTCTGGGAAATGCTCTAGACTGAATGCTTTATATTACACTTCTCATTGATAAAGATTTCAAATGAACAGTAACTGTGGCCATGTTACTGAAAATTATAAAGTTGGAGAGAATCTACATGGTCACCCGATAAAGAGAGACTGATCACCTTTTCAGAAGAAAGTAGCTGATTTCCTGCAGACTGGCTGGCACCTATTACATGATGACTTGAAAGGAATCAGTGAGGGAATGGGCAGTGGCTACGGCAACATCACTTTCTATTGCCAAAGTTGCCACTGGAGAGATGTGAATTTACCTTCCTTATGCCAAATTGACACAACTTACTGAAAATAATGACAATAATGGAAACCATACAAGGAGATCTGACCCAGTCTAAAAATCTTCAAATCCAAAATTCTTCAAAATCTGAAACTGTTTGAACACTAATATAAAGCTCCAGTGATTGATATTTTGAGGAATATTGTTTTTTTTTAAATTTTTTAATTTGGCATATTCAGTCAGTACTGTCTACATAAATATTCCAAAATTTAAATTAAAGAATCTTTAAATTCTGAAATGCTTCTGACCTCAAGAATTTTGTACAGGGATAATAAACCTGCCACAAAGAAAATAATAGTAGCCACAGAATCTAATGCTAGGCTCACTCTGACCCAAATGTTGTTCGAAGATTTTATATACGTTGTCAAATGTTAACATTAAAAACAGTAATACAAAAATCCTAATTGTTGTTACAATCTGAAGACTAGCCTTGAACTCAGCTGTGCAGTTGAGGAGGACAATGCTGAACTTCTGCTCCTCCTGGCTCCACCTCTCACGTAGTGTTGCGACTACAGGTGTGAATCACCACTCCTGGCTGATGTAGTCCTGGGGGCTGATTGAACCCAGAGCTTCGTGCATGCTAGACAATCACTCTTCCAACAAATCTGCAGCCCCAACTCTATTATTTCTATCTTATAGACCAGAAACTCAGGCAAGGAATAATGAATTAGTAGGGAGATGTGGTTTGTATCCAGGGAGTCCCTATGGCTGTGGCATTAGAGATCGGATCTAAGAAGACTAATAGTTGATTTCAGATAATGAGTTACTTTCATTAATAACCATATGAGTAATTGTGGTTGGTGGAGCAAATTCATTTCACAAACATCAAGTAAAATACTATGAGATTGTATAAACACATTTTACCACAGCTACTCATTGAGCGAGAAGCAAAGCAAACCATTCAAACACAAGGAACTCTGAAGAGCTCTAAAAACTGCATGGCAAAGACAAGAAAAAGCAATTTTTTTTAAATTTATTTATTTATTAAGGATTTCTGCCTCGTCCCCACAACCGCTTCCCATTTCCCTCCCCCTCCCCCCGATCAAGTCCCCCTCCCTCATCTGCTCGAAGAGCAATCAATTTAAAACTCCTGGTTGCCCAAAAGAGAAATCAGGCCGGGAACTAGAAACATAGGCAGCTTCCCGGGGGTAGTGATGTCATGGGCCTTGGAAGAGAGTTTACCAGCCACCTTGCTAGACCAGCTGACTTCCCAACTGCATGCTAGATCCTATTCTCCCTTACCGAAGATGCCTCTCTGCACAGCAGATGGAGTCTGTCAGAGAAGCACAACTGGACACAATGCAGAGATTAACAAATCGTGGGGAGCCAGACCCAGCGTCTGATCTACAGCATGGTCCATCTATGAATCAGGGACCGTCAAGGGACCGAAATCAGGAGGATTGTGAGGGCCAGAATATCAAGAAGTTTACTGTAAACCCATCTGCCCTAGAAAGGGCTGCAAAACCAAGACTGCAACAAATGGCAGAATCAGCAGATAAGGAGCTACAGGCAGCTCTTGACCGCTGAGAGGAAGAACGGGCTTCTCCAAGGGATGAGAGACCTCGCTGGTTGTTCCCTGCACACTAGTTAGCCTCGAAACCATATATATGTACAACAAAAATGGACTCAGTTGTATTTACATATTTGTGCATACATACACATACATGCATATATGTGTGTGAACCATTACCGAAGAGGAGGAGACTGTCAATTTGAGGGGGGCATAAAGGAAGGTGGATGAAGGTAATGGGAGGGGCTGGAGGGAGAAGAGCAAAGGGGAAAGTGATGTAATAAATGTATAAAAATGAAAAAAAAAAACAAAGTCCTGATGTAAAAGAGTATTAGAAGCCTCGAGGATTATTCGTACATCTATGTTTTCCACGAATGTTCTCATATCTTATGTAGAAATTAGGAGAAAGGAATAAGAAATCTACGTTTGAATTAAAATGCGCTTTGCTACACAGTCCTACTTTTCTGGTATTCCCTGCACAATCAGAATGATTAAAATCCACTCAATAAAAGAATGCCAAATGTACTTAAATAAGAACCTTCTATTTTCATCAAGAAATACCTCAGTGCGTCCGTAGTCCTGTGTGATGTTAGTAGCTCTGTCTGTTCACCATTCATAGCTTCTTTGTTTTCCAAGTTCTGGGTGGAATCCTGGAATGAAGCAAAGTCACAGGGTGTAGATGCTGCAGACACAGAACTGAAGCTTTGAACAAAGCTTCAACTGAGGGAGGAGACGGCCTGGCCCTGATGTGGACAGCTCGCTTCCATCTCTGTTAAGACTGGAACCAGATATTAATCCTCTCGTGCTTTCCATGCGCTCTCTCTGTTCTTTGGTTTCTGGAACGCTCAAATGGGCCATTTGCACAAGACAGTATGCTAAAAACTGGTGAATATGTCGCTTAGCTTCCTGCAACTCAGCCTTGGGTTTGGAAATGTATTTTAAACCAGTTTGAAAAAAAAATAATAAAAGAAATCTCCATTTTACGTGGTGAGAAACAAGTTTTAACCACCTCTATGTGCTTGCACTTAGCACAAAGCAATGTGAGAGAAAAAAAGGCAAATATATGGACAAAAGCAAATATATGGAAAAAAATTTTGTTACCTGGCTGTCCTGGAACTCACTCTATAGATCAGGCTGGCCTCGAACTCAGAGATCCACCTCTGCTTCCTAAATGCTTGGATTCCAGTCATGCATGTGGTCACGCCCAGCTCTTTTGATTATTTTTTTTAACATTTATTTTTTTGTGTGAGTGTTTCCCATGTTTGTATGTGAATCAGGAGTGTGTTTGGTGTTCACAGAGGTCACACGAAGTCACTGGAGGTGTGGGTGACTGAGTGAACAGCCGAGTGGGTGTGGCAATCACACACAGGTCCTCTGCAAGAGCAAAAAGCACTTTTAACTTCTATGTCATCGCTATAGTTCCCTAAACTGATTTGATTTTTAAAATGCCTTACATTTTAAATGGATAACATTTCAAACAGTTGTATTTTGTGAAATATATTTATCTTAACTCAATTTTCTGGTCTCCACATGGATAAATAAAAGAAAGAACAATCTGTAAGGTTAAAGAACCTTAAAAGTATAGGGTAAAGCATCTTTACAAAGATAAATATATGTAAGTTTTACTGTCCATGTTATCCTTAGGAAGGGCTTGATAAGTTCATACAGAACAAGCAGGGCAAGAGTGGGAAAGTTAAAACAATTAGGTCGAAAGATTTAACAGAATTCTTGAACCTGTGGTGATGATACATATCAAGATATTTGATAAACATATGTATGCCCAGGTCATTAGCTTTTTATCTGTCTGTAAGACAGTAAACTTTGTGTGTGGTTCTCAGAGAAACAACTATATTGTTTTTTAAGGCTACATAAGAAACTATCCGAAAACTTTATTGATTAGAAAAAATTACAATATTTCTTCTAATTTCTGAAAACTGAGGTTGGCAATCAGATGCCTGAAAGATTGAAGCTATGATTTTCTAGCAGAGTACCCTTTCTCCCTGATGCTGACACATGACTGGAGCATCTACAGATGTGTAGGGTCATATTATTACTGGTCTCACGTGACTGGAGCATCTACAGATGTGTAGGGTCATATTATTACTGGTGTCACATGACTGGAGCATCTACAGATGTGTAGGGTCATATTATTACTGGTCTCACGTGACTGGAGCATCTACAGATGTGTAGGGTCATATTATTACTGGTGTCACATGACTGGAGCATCTACAGATGTGTAGGGTCATATTATTACTGGTCTCACGTGACTGGAGCATCTACAGATGTGTAGGGTCATATTATTACTGGTCTCACGTGACTGGAGCATCTACAGATGTGTAGGGTCATATTATTACTGGTCTCATCTTCCAGTTCTGTTCACTGAACTGTGACCATTCTCATGTCTGCACCACACAGCTCTGACTTAGGTTTGCATTAAGGTTTGAAATCATAACGTGTGGGTCTTCCAGATTTGTTTTGTTTTTCCATGTTGGCTCAATATTCTGGGCCTCTTACATGTCTACAATAATTTTAGAAGCAGCATGTCTGTCAATTTGCACCTATGCTGAGTATTTGATAAGAGAGCAGATATAATCTATACATCATAATACCATCTTAGTGATAAACGTCCCTCCATTCCAGGAACATTTAACAGTGGCAGCTAATGAAAATAATTATTCCTTTAAGTTCTAACTCTAATCAGGTATTTATCATCAGAATGCCAACGGAAAAAGTATTGAGCATACAATTTAGCTCTTTATCTTGCTCGTTTTCATTCTCTCCCACGCACAACTTTCTTACTGGTCCCTAACTACAACAGGAAGAGGATGCACTTTCTGTCTCCAACTAACTTACTGGAGATTAGGGAGTTTTCCAACCAGTTTTAGATATAAGACAAGTAAAGGTGTTATTTACATCAACACTATACTTGATGTGCTATAAATGTGGAAATGTCATTTTCTTAAGTGTCTTTCAGCCATTTTAGATTCCTTTGTTTAGGTCTGTACTCCATTTTTTATTGGGTTATTTGTTCTTTTGAGCACCAATTTCTTGAGTTCTTTGTATATGTTGTCAATTACAATTTGAAAGTAATATAGGGTCAATTGCAGTGTGATAGTCTGATCGAGGGGAATTCTGACCTGACTATATTTCAGGAGTAATCATGTCAACAAGTACGTACTTAAAGAGAGGACACTTCGGCAGTTAGGAGTGTTTGATGTTCTTGTAGAGGATCGGAGGCAAATTCGCAGCTCCCATGTAGCTGGTTCATAAAGGCCTAACCTCCAGCTCCAGGAGCTGATACTGTGCTCTAGACTCACGTGACCTGGACTTGTGCATGCACATTGCCACATTCATACACACAAATTATTAAAAATAAAATAAAGCACACATTTAAATGTTAAAAGCTAACATTCACACAGAAGAGAAAACGTTATGTTTGTCTTTCTGGGTCTGGGCTACCTCACTCAGGGTGGCTGTTTATAGCTTTTTAACCTGAAAATTCCATTTCTCTTAACACCCAAATGATCTTCCTGTGTGGAAATGCACCATATTTTTATTAGCAGTTGATGGGCGTCTATGCTGATTCTGATTTCTGGCTATTATGAATAAAGCAACAAGGAATATGGATAAGCAAGTTTCTCTGAAGTATATGTAGAGTCCTTTTGTATATACAGTTGTATATATAGCTGAGTCTTGTGTTAGATTTAATTTTAGGTTTGTGGGGAACTTCCCTACTGAATCTCATAGTGGTTGTACCAGTTTGCATGCTCATTATCAATGAATAAATGCCCCCCTTCCTCCACAGTCTCCCCATTAATCTTGGCCATTCTAACTGGGGTAAGATCAAATCTCCAAGTGTTTTCAACTTACATTTTCCAAATAGCTAAGACTGTTGAACAGTTCAGTGTTTCTTGGACATCTGTGCTTCATTTTTTTGCTTAGTTCTAAACACTTTTTAAGTTGGGTTATTTGTTTACATGATGTTTGGGTTTTTATAGTTCTTTGTATATTCTAGATACTAATCCTATGTCTGGTATAAATAATAGGTAAAGATTTTTCCCCATTCTGTAAGCTACCTATTTGCTCAAATGATGGTGTCCTTTGCAAGCACATACACAAACTTTGTGTTAGATAGTAGTTCCACTATTTTAAAAGAAATATCAAGCCCCTGTTGGCCCTGCTATCACTGCCATAAACAGGCAGAAACTACAGTATATCATCTCAGCTAACAGGCAGTGTTTGCCACTTGCCAAAATCCCTTCTGTCTACTGCAATACCAGAATCCTTTAGTATGCTCTAGGGATGAGGCAGGTGCTGGAGACTCTCATCCTCCAGGGATGAGGAAGATGCTGTAGACTCTCATCCTCCAGAGACGAGGCGGATGCTAGAGACTCTCATCCTCCAGGGACGAGGCAGATGCTGGAGCGGCTCATCCTCCAGGGAGGAGGCAGATGCTGGAGGCACTCACTCAAAAAGACATAAAGCCAATTCAGTTGACTCTTATAGCACTAGCACGGCAGTGCTTGAAACATGGGAAAAGATAGCTGTGTCTTAGCAGGTTTAAAAAGTCACTTTCCTTTCAAACTTAAAACTTATCGACACAAAGTGACTAAAGCACACTTTAGCTCTTCTTCCAATCCATTACATGATGAAGTGAGGAGTCACGAACTCACACCTATCTAAAAATGAAAATGAGAATTTTTTCCATCATTGCTTATTTAAATAACTTGGAGAAAAATCTGTAAAATCTTGACTTGTAAATTTGGAAGGAGAGGGACAAAAATAACTCTGATTAGCTAAAAGGTCGCCATAATGGGTGCTAAACAGCCTCCATATTCCTTACTTTAGTTTGGAGAAATAATCATTACGTGATTTAAAAATCCTAAGACTTGCCTCTAGAAATAGAGACACAATGCTTTGGAGGGTCCATATTTATTTCTAAAATAACATGAATGCAGAGTCTATTTTTAATGCTGTATTAAACTCCTGGGTTAAGATGAGCTGCCTAGAATGTAGAGAGGCTGGTGTTGTAAGGCCTGCCTTGGTTTCCCCTAATTATGAGTTAACAGGAGACCATGGCTGGCTACTCCAAGTGTATCCGTCACAGCTTTGAGCACATCAGGCAACATACTTGTGACCCTCACAAAAAGACAAGCTTAATTACTACATATTAAAGAGGCCACATTTTTAGCAGCACTGCCAGGACCGTGGGAGCATTAATGACAGCCAAAATGCATTGGATTTAAACAGCACGGTTCTATTTTTAGCTTTAAAATCAACACTTGCACAAATATTCCCAAACCAATTAGCAGCAGCTGGAAAGTAAAGGTGTTTACATTTCGTTACCACTGGTGTTAACGACAGCAAGTCCTCACAGGCTGCAAAGAGGGGCCCGGGCGCCTGGAGGGCAACCTTCTCTTCAGGGGTCATCACAGTGCCAGCAGCAGGCTATCGCTGTTGCGCGGTAGTTCAGCGTTTGTACAGGACGCTGGCTCCATGCAGGGAAGAGTACAATATTCACTATGGAGTGCCATTAAGATAGGAGAGGAGAAAAGTTGGAAGTAAAGGCTACCCCGATTCTCACTGTGTTCCTGGCTGGCTGTGACTGCTCAACAGCTCCACAGTTTGGTTTCTTCTTTCAAGGACGAGT